ATTAAATTAATAAATAAAACAGAATTGAGTAGAAAAAAATTACATGAGTTTTCTCAGGAATGCAAAATTGATTTAACATAAAACGATGAAAGGAAGAAAAATATATGATCGTTTCAACAGAAATATAAAGCATTTGATATAATTCAATTCCCATTCCTAATGAATACACTTAATTAGAAATTGAATTTTCTTACCCTATAAAGAATATAGGGTAAGAAATCATATATACTACAAAGTCATATATCAAACATTGAATTTAACATACTTAATTCTAGCTAAAAAACAGAAGCATCTCTTTAAAACTCAGGAGCAAGATAAAGATGCCATCATAACTTCTATTCAACCCTGCACTGGCGGTCTTAGGTAATTAAATGAAAGAAAAATAAGAAGTAAATATTAAGATGAAAGAAACAAATCACAGTTTCATCATTCAATCTGCTTTTATTCAAAAGTGCTCCTGATGCCTCCAGGAAGATTCTTCAGGAACCTTCAATGTCTCCTCTCCATCCAAGTCCATGTGCTGGGCTGGACACCAGCCCATCATTTCCACAAACCAAACACTCTGTCCAAAACATCTCTCCACTCCATTCTCTTCATCACACCCCTGAGAAGACAGCCTGAATCGTCACCATCTTATCTCACCATGTTTACTGTCAAGGGCTTTGAATTTAATGCAAATATCACCGGACAGGCTTTAAGGATCTTCTCTCCCCCCACTCCTAAAAAAAGTTTATCTTGATACAGTCCCCTAGTTCCACCAACAGCCTCACCCCAGCAGCATAGCATTTCCCCCTTTCTCCACCTCCCGCCATCACCCGCAAGTAGGCTTGCTGTCACTGCCACTAGTCAAAAGGAGTAATTAAGGAGAGTTTAAGGAGGAACTATTTATAAAGATGTGTGTAGGGTTCAGGCAAACTAACAAAGAAAGGTGAAGCATTCCCAGGCTGGCAAGAGCAAATAGACTCCCAGCCCTGAAAAGGTGAGGCAGGGAGCAGTCTTGGAGCCTGGAGAGAGCTGCATCTCCAACAGAGCTGTGGCCTAGGGTAGGGGAGGGCAGCCCGGGGGCGGAAGGGGAACAAACATACAACCTCTCTCTACTCTCACCCGCTTATCTCCTGCAGGTGACACCAAATCAGAAGCCAGAGGGCAAGAGAGCCTGGGTGACACATTCCACAGAAGTCATCCCTGCAGGGCACAGGGCAAGGTGAAGAGTTTCCAGCATGGCAAACAAACAATATCCAACACATCCCACAGCCCCTCCACCTGATGCCCCAATTATTAGCACCCTTTCAGCCAAACGTTTTGAAGGAGTTTTAATTACTCTCTCCACCTTGGCTTCGTCATCTCCACAGGCCATCTCCATGATCTCTCAGCAGCATTTGACACAGCTGACCACTCCCTTCTTCAAACATCTTCTGTTGGGTTTCATGCCCCTAGTCTGGGCTTCTTGTTACCTAACTGGCTGCTGCTTCTGTTTCTTTTGCTTGCTCCTCCTCTGCCTGGCCTGCAGTGTTGGAGTGCCCCAGGCATCATTACGGACCCCCGCTCTAGTTTTGATCTTCACACTTACCCCATGGCTTTAAATGAAATATATATATACACATTTTTAAAATATATATATATATGTGTATATATATTTTACTCCCAAATAAGTAGCATTGACTCTAATCTGTTAAAGCCAATTGTCTGCTTGACTTCTCCTCCACTTAGATGCTCAGTAGATATCTCAAACTTAACATGAGCAAAACAAGAACTCTTGACTTCTACCACCTCTGCTTCCAAACCTACCCCCCCAAAATCCTTAATTTTCATTTTTGTGTCCCTGGTCAAACCCAAAATTCAGGAGTTATCCACTTTTCTTCTGACCACCTCCAATCCATTCATTCTAATCAGTAAGTCCTATTGACTCTACACTCAAAACCTATTCCAAATATCTTCACCTCTCCATCCCTCCTACTATCACTTTAGTCAAAACCACTATTATCTCCCTTCGTTACCACAAAAGGTTTGTCTCTAGATTCCCTGAGTCCTCTCTCCCCCTGCAATCATTTCTCCAAGCAGATCTTTTTTAAAGAAGTAATTATATTTTTCTTTATCCATTGCACTTATTTTCTAACATACTGTATATTTTGCACTTTCTATGTTTGTTTTTATTGTCTGTCTCTCCCTTCTAGAATGTAAGCTCGAGGAAATGGACTTTTTTAAACTGATGCCTCCCAAGTGCCAAGAACAGTGCCTGGCGTGTAATAGGTGCTTGATATTTCCTGACTGAATTGAATCATTACTCCTCTGCTTATAATGCTTCAGAAGCTTAGAAGACAAAACAAAAACAAAAAAACTCTTCTGCGTGGTCCACAAGGCCCCACATGATCCATCTCTGCTTGCCTCGCCACCTTCATCTCTACTGCTCTCTGCTCTCCATAACCATATTCTAAGACTTGGTCTTTCTGAACCCAACTAGTCTGTCTTAGGACTTTACCATTCCCTCTGGCTGGTATGATCTTAGACCTTCCTTCTCACCATTCAGATGTCAGCTTTAATGCCATCTTCTCAGAGAACCTTTTTTCTGATCACCCATTATAAAATAGACACTGGGTCACTATCTGTTCAGTTCCATTTTAGGTTTTTGAATAGTGCTAATTACTATTTTATTTATTTTAACTTATTGCCTGTCACCCCATGAAAGCAGGGACTGTTAAGCTCATTACTATTGTAACCTAGAAACATCCTGGCACATAACAGATACTCAATAAATGAATTCAGGAGATATATGAAGGCTGGAGATAATAGATAAGAGAGAACAGAGAAAATGGAGTAGAAAAAAATCATCAAAATATAATTCAATACAATTTCCGAGAACTGAAAGGTTATAAATCTCTAGAATGAAAAGACCGACTGAGTTAATCAGCAGAATGGGGCAAAAAAATTTCATACAAAGGCACATCAAGAAATCTAAGAGAAATAACACAAATACAACCAAAAAGCTTCCAGTAAAAAAACAAAAAACAGGCCACATACAAAGGATCAGGAATCAGGGTGCCACAAGAATTCTCAACAGCAACAAGGGAAACTAGAAGGCAGTGGAGCAATGCCTTTGACATTCTGAAGGAAAACTGTTTCTAACCAAGAATCTTATACCTAGTAAATCTAATAAGGGTCAAGGTGGGATAAGATATTTCCAGATATTCGAGATTTTAAAAATTCAACTTCCATGCACCATTTCTCAGAAAGCTACTGGATGTTTCACCAGAATGAAGCACATTAAGACGAGGAACAACACAGGATAAAGAAATAGAACCAATCCTGAACCCCCAGCATAAGGGTGAAGGGAGGCCCAGGAAGCTGTGCAAAGGTTGGGGAGCAACTATTCCAGATTCAAGGTCAGGAGGCCTCAGAAAAGATGCATCAAGCCAAAACTGGGACGAGCACCTGATCACTGAACATCTTGTGATTTTTGGCAACTGGTGAAGAGTTGCGAGTTCAATTAGTAGTAAGAATGTAGGAAACGAAGCAAAAAGGGGTGGAAAGGCAATTAACTCCAGGGAAGAAAAAGTTGTACGGGAAGAAAAAGTAATCATAGCCACATGCTATGTGTAATCAGGCCCAGCTACAAACAGCTTTTACAAATACACAATAATGAACATACTGAATACTTATTCGTTTGTGTCTTTTTTTGGCGACTGGCTGGTGCAGGGATTGAAACCCCCACCTTGCTGTTATCAGCACTACACTCTAACCAACTGAGCTACCCAGCTAGACCAGAATACTTACTTATCCAGTGATAGGACCACACTAAAGGGATGGGGATGGGTGGGAACAGTGTATGCTGTGGCAAGGGGCAAGAAGAGCAGAGTACTTTTCCATCTTTAAGATGACAATTTAAAAAAAGCAGAAAGAGCAGACAAGAAATGGTTAAATAGTTGAATGTCTTATGAAGGAAGATGAGACCTCTGTAGGTTATATTTTCTTTGGGGCAGTGCTTATTTTCCAAGGATTTGGGGTGTGCTGTACTGGATGTTGCCCTACTCAAGGAGAATCACCACATGCTGGGGCAACACTGCAGGGGAGGAAGAACAAGGTGGAACCTCAGTGGTGGATGGTCTGTGCCTCATGGGAGGCTCTCCTTTGGGGACTTCCAGATATGACAGCACATGTGCAAACAGAGGACAGAAAGTCAAGTCACAAGGTTCTAGACACACAAGAAAAACCTTGAGCCACTGCTATCAATGGACCCTCTATAGCCAGACTGAGGTCTGGTGACATCTGAGTTATAACTAAAAAAATATATATATTATGTATCTCCAGGACATTCATTCAAGTCTTTATTGAGCACCTTCTCTGTGCCCAGCACTGCACTAGGTACCATGGAGAATACAAGAGAAGTATATATAGGGTATCTGCCCTCCAGGAACTTATAAAACTAGAGGCAGAAATAAGATGTACATGTGACTCAGGCAGTATGTGAAATGTACAAAGTGGGCAACTCTGAGCCAACGCAGGGGCTAAGAGATCCAGGGTGGTTGGGAGCAGTCCCAGAGCAGGGGGAGGAGTTAACACTTGGACAAGCAGGGGACTGGCAGTGCACTTGCAATGGGGAAGGACAAAGACTAGGAGACCAATGTGGCTGGAGAGGGAGCCTGAGGTATATGGTGGGCACTAGAGGTACCTGGACAAGAAGGCTACAACTCGGGGTGGGTCTGTGGGCAAGAAGGAGACACTTTAATTGCTCTCTGACATGAAGACCTGGTGGGCTGTGTGGCCTCCTGCTGCCTTCCTTTCCTCCCCCTACACTGCCCTGTCTTCCCATCCCCACTCCCTCTCCTAGGAAAGTAGAACCTGGATAGTGAGTTGGGCCAGGGACAGAAGCTCAATACCCTGCTGGGGAAACTGGTCAGAACTCCTGAGGCAGAGGTTTTGCTCGACTGGATATTTGCCTTGGTGTTCTCAGACGCACTGATCAAGAGCAGGATGTTCTGGACTCTTTTAAAAACTCCCTTCACAAGGATCAATCCACAGAGACAATTTATTGATCAACGATCACAGCTGTTACCCCAAAGCCACATGTATCTAGATCCTTCTCCCAAGACCACAGTTGGCTCCAAAGAGTCCCACCTCATTTGCTATGGAAACTATGTATGTTCAGCCCTGGTTTCAGAGAAGCATGGACCCCATTCTGGGCCTCACAAGGAGATGGTCTCCACTGGCACGCCAGGTAGCTAACTGAAATGGCCTGGGAAGCCTCAGTGGATTTTCATTCAGTTTAATTTCAGCATTTTCATGTATGTTTAACTCTGAGTTGGGGTGGGGGTAGGTCTGTTTAAAATGCCAACAAAGGCAGCAGAGTGGATTTGGGCAGGGTGAACCTACAGGGGTTTAACAGCAGCAAAACGGTCTTAGGTGTAAACAACTGCTTGTTTCACCAGCTGGCAGAGGATGCCATACTGAGCAAGAAAATGTTGCCTTGGCTCCTTATTCAACAAAGATACAAAGCAGGGGCAAAGGCAGTGGTCAAAAAAGAGGGAAAAGCGCCCTCATGGACTCCAACGCCAGAAGTTCCCACAGGAAGCCAGCAGGAGGTGGGAGAAGAGCCTGGTTAGGGCAACAGCACTGAGAGGTCTTAGGGGCCACAGAGATGGGAAAGTGGGTGGCAGTGAACATGGGGTCCCTCGTCTGCCCTGTTCCAGGTGCTGTGGCTGGGCACCCTCTCCCCAGTCAAGAGTCCTGGAATTCCAGAGAAGTGAAGCATCATGGGTGTGGGGCCAGGGCAGGCATCAGGGCTCAGGGTCTCAGCAAGAGGCGTGTTCCCGGCCACTTTAACCACAGGAAGGGGACCAAACGCCGGGTGAAGGTAGCAGTGAAGGTGTAGATGAGTTCCTGTGACTCTGCATTGGTAAAAGTCACAGTGCCACCTTCATAATCCAAGGCAATGCCCACTCTCCGGGGCCGCAGCGCCGGGAAGAGCTCAGCCTCAGGGCTGGTGTTGGCCCAGATGCCCGAGGAGGAGAGGCGCAGTGCCCACACCCCATCCTCCGGCCGCAGGGAGAGGTCTCCCTTCCTCTTCACAGAGTCTCTGGCCACTCCCACCATGCAGCTTTCCAAAACTTCCTCCTCTTCTTCCTCCTCCTCCTCCTCTTCCTCACCCAACGACTCCTCGTCCTCATCTGTGTCCCAGTCGTCATATCCGTCCCCATAGCCTGCCTCCTCATCCTCCTCTTCCTCCTCCCCCTCTTCCTCCTCATCCCCCTCATCTTCATCCTCAGACCAGCCCTCCCTCTCTACCTCCACCTCCCAGTAGACCTTGCCCCAGGTGAAGCCCTTGCTGCCTAGCACCCCCGGCTCACAGTCGAACTGCTGGGGGTGCAGGTAGGCACTCTTGTACAGGCTGGTGTAGGTCACACATTTCCAGTCCTCTGACAGCTGCAGGTACCCACTGGCTGACTGCGGGTCCAGGGTAACACTCACTGTGGGCACAAGGGAAGAAATAACAGTGTCACTGGTGAGCCGAGAGGGGGCCTCCAGTCTCCATGGTGTCCACACCACACAGCCATTCGCACCTTTGTCTATGTGCCCATAGTGATATGCAGTGCACAACCTGCGGGCAGGGCTGACAGGGAGCACACAGCAGGGACTAAGGCATAGAATGCCGGTGGCCTTAGGTTGCCCTTGCTGTTTGCTCTGAATACAGGAACCATGTGGTCAGGCAGATGAGAAGAAACTCAGCCACACGGAAAGGACTGGTGGCAGGGTCTGTGCTATATGGTTTGTCCCTGCCAAAACTCAGTTGAAATTTACTTGCCAATGTTAAGCATTGGGAGGTAGAGGCTTTAAGAGGTGATTAAGTCGATAAAACGGATTAACGTCTTTCTCACGAGACTCAATTAGTTCTCATAGGACTGGATCAGTGCTCACAAGAGCAGTTTGTTACACAGCGCCACATGCCTTCTGCACACCCGCTTCCTCTTCTGCTCCTCCACCATGTTATGACACCCTTACCAGAAGCCAGCCAGATGTGGCTGCCTGACCTTGCTCTTCCCAGACTCTAGAACCGTGAGACAAAATAACCTCTTTTCTTCATTAATTACCCAGCTTCAGATATTTTGTTATAGCAACAGAAAACAGACTAAGACAACCTATGAGGACAGAATAACAAAATATCTGGCAGAGAAGGGTCAGACTATCAAGTGGAGGCCTCCATTGCAGACTAAAGAGTAGTAGATTGATCAGAAAATGCAAGGAGGGAAAGAGCTTCAGGTTTACAGCTGGAAAATACTTCCTGTTACAAAAGAGAAAGGACTACCCAGGGGCAGAGGGAGCAGGAAGAATCTCTGGAGGGGTGTTTTCTTTATTTCAGGTAAATCTGGGAACAACCCTTTGGACACTCACCTGTCTTATATTCCAAGTCTCTCAGCAGCTTCCCTGAGGAGAAAAAAGGATAGCAATGACCCTCAAGCCCAGCAAATATATGGGCCCATTTCTCACTTGGGCAGTGTTAATTTCATGACAGGGCTCCATCCCTGAGAACCCAAGAAGAAAAGAGACAACAACTAGGAGACCCTCAGAAGAGTGAGGTTAGTGAGGTTGGAGAATACGACAGTCGGGAGCTGGGTACCCTCCCTCTAGGTGAGGTCCCCTCTCCTGACTCCCACCCCAATGCTCTCTCCAATCCTGACCTTGGAATTCCCTCAGGCCTCGCTGCAGAGAGAGGAGTTTATCTGAGAATTCTCCGGTCCTTTTTTTAACCACCCGAGCGATGGGTTTCCCAATCCAGAACTTCTTCCGTGGATACCTGAGAAGACATAACCTGTTATTTAGCTCTTATTACCTTTCTTCGTACTTTTCTCTCAATCCCCGTGACAATTATGAAGGGAGGAGGAAAAGTATGATTATTCTCCCCAATCAAGAGACAGAAAAACAGGGGCCCAAAGACACTAGCTAAGCAGGGCTTCAGACCTGCAGCTGACTCCACATCCAGAGAGCTGCTGTCTACTAAGCTACGTTTCTCCCTCTCCACTCTGTCCTGCCTCAAGCAAGGAGAGTGGATACTGGGCCAAGGAGCTGAGATTACAGAGAACTTGCTCAGGTGGAGAGAAGTCTCCAGTTCTCATGGATGTGCTCCTGCTTCCCAAAAGGTCATCATGGGATGCGGGTACCTCTGGTACCATGTCACTCCCCATCAATTCAAATGGACCGTGGTGGAGGAAAAGAGAAGGGACACAGGCACAGAGAATGAAGTACACTGTGGAAAGGAAATGCTTTTACCTGTTTAGGAAGTCTCTGGTGTCCTGGAAGAGAAGAAAGCAAAATTATCAATGTGAATCAAATAAGATTTCATTCACATGTACCCAGGAGGTTCTATATATTAGAGGCGGGGACACATCAGTGAACAAAACAAACGTCCCTTCCTTATGGGGCTGACATTCCAGTGGGGACACTGGGTAAAACAACATGAACAAAATAACCACAATGACAGAAGCAACCAGGGGTGGGGGGTGGGGGACAGGGGAGATATAACAGGGCCAACCTCTCTGAGGAGACACTTGAGCTGAGGTTTGAAGAATGAGAAAGTACTGGCCAGGTGAAGAGTGGTAAGAAGGTGAAATGGGAGAGGGCTTAGCAAAGGAGACAGCCAGATCACGCAGGAGTGGATATGCGTGGTGAGGAGTGTGAATTTTGTCCCATGTACAGTGGAAAGCCACCAAGGGGTTTCAGGTAGGGGAGTGATATACATGATCTGATTTACATGTGGTTGAGATTGCTAAGTGTCCTCCAGGATCCATTCTCCTCTTCTTTCTTCTACTAATAGAACTCCTAGAGTTATAGCTGGGCAGATGGCCTCCCAGGAAAACTACACTTCCCAGATTCCCTGCAACCAGGTCTGGTCACATGACTAAGTTCCAGCCAATGAGATGTTAAAGAAAGCAATGACTACCATTTCTGGGTCCTGTCCTTTAAAAAAGAAAAGAAAATCACTTTCTACTTCCTCTTTTCTCCCTGGCTGAATTTTGGACATGGTGGTGGTGAGCCCAACTTTGACCACACAGCTGAGGACAACATCCCTAGAAGTTGGTGGAACAACCAGTTGGAAGGAACCCAGCTCCCTGGACAGCCTCAAGGACAGCCCCCCTGACAGCTCTAGACCCTCCACTTCTGAATTGTAATTGAGACAGAAATAAACTCCTGTTTTATCTGAGCCACTGTACAGCAGTTAGCCAAACCCTAAGTGACCAATCGCTTGGCTGCCCTGCTGAGAATGAGTAAGGAAGGCAATGTGAACTCGGGGAGGCCAGCCTGGAGGCTGCTGCTGTGGAGGGAGACAGAGATGGCCTGGACGCAGGCGGTGGCAAAGGAGACAAAAAAGAGAGAAGCAGCATGTTCCAGGCATATTTTGGAGCCAGACTCAATCGGCACACTGGTCAAGGTGGTCAAGGACAGGCCATGGTTTAAGCAGGAGGGAAGAGGGAGGTGCTGTCTGTGTGATGGGGGAAAACAGGTGGTGGGACAGGTGAGTGGGAAGGGGGCTCTGAGATGCTGCTTAGATTCCCTTCAGTAAGTCGAAAGCCTCCATAACACTCTGTATTAAATGATTTTTGCTTTTCTTTTACTCATTCCACAAGTATTTATTAAGTGCTTCTCATGTACCAGGCTCTGGGACCTGGGATAGAACAGTTAAAAAAAAAAAAAAAAAAAAAAAAGACACAAATCCCTACCCACCTCTACCCATATGGAGCTGACATTCTAGCAGGCGACACACAATCAGCAGAACAAACATATCCTACTGTGTCAGTAAGTGCCAAGTGCTAAAGAGAAGAGAGTGGAATAGAGTGAATTAGTGCAGTAGGGGCAGGCTGGCTTCCTTGTAGGTAAGATTTGGGAAACAAACGGAATCACCAAATTATGGCTGCTGATGACTGTTCAGAAAGTTGAGGAAAACCTGCGGGCTGTGCTCCAGAGGAGGCAAGACAAGAAGTTAGAGTCACGTCCCGCACCCCCACTAGGAAGCAACTGCCCAGAGGCTGGTTGCTCTAAAAATCCCTCTAATCTGCCCCTCAAAACAGCTTCAGAGTATGAGGCGACAAGGGGCAGTGTATGCTGACAGCTCTGCTGACAAATGTGGAGTAAAAGAGCAAAGGAACGGGGCAGCAGCTGGGGTGGGGACCAGGGACCAAGCAGATATGTGCTGTGACAGGTGAGTTGCTACAGTAGAAAGGGAGAATAATCCAGAAGAAAGAGGAGTCATCTAAGGGGTAAAGGGTGTGAACAGCCCAGAGAGGATGGGACTGAGAGCCAGTGCAGGAGCCGGTGCTGCCAAAAGAGGGGCAGGAAGATGGGGGAGTCCAGGCTACAGCCACACATAGGGCCTCCAGAGGGAAGCAACCTGCCCGAGATGCCTGGAGGACCTTTCTCACCCATGAGGTTCCTGGGCTGTTGTGAAACAAGCAATCGGAGCAGAGCAGTGGGGCTGGGGCAATAAATCACAGCAATCTCCAGCATGGGACATGCCTGGTTATTAACAGAGAACATCAGGAAGGTTCTTCACAGGTGTAGACAGTGACCATGGGTCTGGACAGTGAGAGAGGCAGAGGCACAGAGCTGCCACTTGGTCCTGCAAGGCCCACCCAGGGCTAACCTGGGGAGGATGTCAGTGTCTCTTTGGGCCTCTTCAACCTGAGTGCTCCGAGCCACTGCAGGCAGGGCCTCTGCTTTCAGGGCAACTCCTCTGGGTGGGTTAGGAAAAGTAACCCCTCTAGGTAGACACAAGTGGATCTCAGCCCCACAAGCACCCTTGGCTGCGTGCGTCTGTTCCAGGCACAATTGCATATCCACCCCTGAAGGGAAGGAGAAGAGGGAAAGGGGTAAGGAGAGAGGCAGCAAGTGACCCCATCGAAGAGTCTGATGAGAGAAATCTCAGGGGACAAAATGACATCGAGGAAAGGAGGGGACCAGAGGGACATTTTAGACAAAAGGAGAGAAAAGAAGAAAAGCTGGGGGGTCAGGATGTGTGGGCTTGATCTGTGACCCAATTCCTGACCTGCCCCACAGTCTGGGACAAAGCCCTTCCACTCTCAGACCTCAGTGACTTCGTCAGGAGAGGTTGGACTACAGAGTCTAAAAAGAGTCCATGCCAGTCCCAGTCCTCATTCTGTGCATCTGAATCCACAATGGTGAGAGGCTGGCAGAGGCCACCTCTTTATGCAGCCTGTGCTGGCACATGCATTGGGGATACTTATGTTCTCTCCCCTCCTGGCCATTGATTTGGCCTGCCCTGGCCAGGAACCCCATTTTCATAGAGATCATGGTTCTGCTGCTGACAGACAGCCCAGCCATCCCAAACACTACATGTGGGGGAGACCATCAGAAACTCCTTTCCTGGCCAGTGAGGGTGGGAAGACAGAGCCCTCCACCCCTCCAAAGGCTGTGATCCCTGTTCAGGGTGCCACTGTTAAGCCCTCCTTTGGCTACCTCCAACTAGAACATATTTCTGCATCTCCAGAACCATAAAAAGCTTCCACCTGACAAGTGTCTACTAGTGACTTGTTAGAAGAGCTTATGATGGTACTGATGAGGATGGTAATTACGATATTAATAACCTTCTCTTTCATTTCTAATACATGTTTTTTTTAAAACATTTTTTATTGTAGAAAATTTATTTTTTGTAGTGATACCATGCCACTTATTTTATGCTCACATAACCCATAGAATAAGTAGAGAGTAAGATTACCACCCAAATATTTGAGAGAGAAAACTGAGGCTCCAAGAGGAAGTGACTCTCCCGAGGTCCTACAAGTGAGTGGCAGGGATGGGACCTAGTGCCCTGGTCCCTGACTCCCTGCCATGGGAAGGCCTCTCACCTGCATGAGCTCTGCAGCCGACTGCTGTGCCTTGTCCTCCAGCTCGGAGATAACCAGTGCCAGCCGAGCGAGCTCACCGACGCCCCGGCTCTTGTACTTCTCCCTCCCCTCTGTGAGCTCCTGCTCCAGCTTCGCCAGCTGGTCCAGCAGGTGCTGCTCCCGCTCCCTCAGGAACTGGTGGCCCTGCTCAAACTCTGCCACGATGTACTGCCTCTGGTCCTGGAGCTTCTTCTGCAGGGGGCAGGAAGGGGGTAAGGGAGTGATGCCTCCGCCTTGGGGTGCAGGATGCCTCCAGGACCCAGCATTAATAGGCGCACAAAGCTAGCTCTTTCTCTTTCCCCTGGTTACCCCCATTCGTGAATTCTACAGTGTTTGGGGTGGGAGGAGCAGAGTGCTCCTGGTCCACCCTCATCTTCTCAGAGAGGACATAAGTAGTGAATTAGTTCAGTTTGCTCAGCCACTGTGTGATCAGCACTCTGACACTGCCTGACTGTCAGCCCATTACCTGCTCCAGGTAAACCAGTATGTTCCAGGGCTCTTAGAAGAACTCTGTTGGTCTCACTCATGCGTGACACACTTCTCCCTCCCAGACAAAGTCTCTGTATGTCGCCTCTTTCAGGAAGCTTTGCTTGATTAATGTCATCAAGCCTGATCAACCCTCTCTTCAGCACCCCAGTTATATATAAAATATCCACGTGCACCCCCATCCCTGCCATGTAGGACTGCATCCTGTTTCCCTCAGTGAAACTGTGGAACATCTGTGCTCAGGACCATGTCCTTTCCTGCCTCCAAATCTCCTTGCTGAGTCCAGGCTGGGGTCTAGCCAGAGTCCTCAGTCCCCCTGCTGACTGATGTGGGCTGGAGATGTCCATGTACACCGAGGGCCTAGAAGTGCCTCTTGCACTTGACTGTCTCTGGCTTCACCCTTTCCCTCTCTCAAGGCCTGATAACTCACTGCTGGGCCTGGCCCCACCATCCCTCTACTGCCCACTTCCCCAACACACACACTCCCCAGGAAATTTGGAACCATGTTATCAGTGTTTTCCCTCCTGCAATGTGCTGCCTGATTTCTAACCACTGGTTACTGTGGGCCTGGTCCTCACTAGACATGAGCTAAGGGTACCATGACCACACCAGCCCTACCGCAGAGCGTGGAAGAGGAGGTGACCTGCTCCATCAGCATCATCAGATCTGGTCAGGCCTTCCTTAGAACTTCCCTCTCAGCTCTTAGCCAAACCCTCTGGGGCTCCCCTCCACTCACAGAAATCATATCTTTCTCCCTCTCTTTGAAAGGAAGAAGAAAGCCAGGCCTTCCTCAGTCACCTGGTGAAAGAGCAGTAGCTGCATGATGTGGGTGAAGCTGAGGTGACAATCACAGAGGAAAGGGACCCTGGTGACATCCAGGTGACCCACTCACCTGCCATATGAGAAACAGGCCCAAAGCCTGAGGCACACAGCTGAGATGGACAGAATATAGGCTAAACCTGGGTCTGCTAGCAGCCAGCCCATCGTCCATCTCCCCATGAGCTGCCTCCTAGAAACACCTCCAGATGCCATGTACTCGCCCAGGCTCTCCCTGCCCCACGCAGGCGAACTGCCTCAGCGCTTCCTCTAACAGCCTCACTTACCAGTGCAGCCAGGATATCAGCTTCTCCCTTCGCCTGAAAGCCCTGAATTTTGTCTCTGTCTCTCCTTAGGGTACTCAGGTGGTTCAGGATTTTTTCCTGTAGAAAGACAAGCAGTAGGGACAGATGGATGTTCCAGTCTAGAGCAGGAGGGAGGATCAGGCTGAATCCTAGGCCAGCAAGAAACCTTCAGAGCGGTCTCAGCCAGGCCCTGCATTCAGAGGGCTGCAGAGGGGAGCATCAAGGAAGGCGGCAGGCGCCCTCCGGGGGTGAGGAGGGCTTACCCTGTGGGGCTGGGCAGCCTTCTCCACCAGCACAGCTGTGTGGGGTCTATGCTCCCGGGACTCCCGGCACATCACGCACAGCAGCTTCCCATCGTCCTCGCAGTAGTAGTGCAGCTTCTCCTGATGCCGCTCGCACAACTTGGTGTCCTGCTGCTCCCGGGACACCTCTCCCGGCTGCCTGCCCTTGTCCACCTTCAGCCGCTCAATGTTCTCCACGAGGCTGGCCAGCTGCCACACGGGTCGGATGTTCTCCTTCTTAAAAGGCTTCTTGCAGAGCGGGCAGACGGGGCGGCTGCCTGAGATGGGGCGGACATCGGTGGTGCAGCTGCGGCAGAAGACGTGGCCACAGTCGATGGTCACGGGGTCCCGCAGGTAGTCAAGGCAGATTGAGCAAGTCACCTCCTCTTCCAGGCTCCTCAGTGGGGCTGATGTGGCCATGGTGCCCTTAACTCAGAGGGGTCTCTGTTCACTGGTAGGGGTTTCCCTTCCTTGGAGACCAGACATGGAGTCAAGAGCAGGCACAGTAAAGAGGCAGAGGTGGCAGCCTTGCACAGCGCTGCCAGCCCTAGCGCCTAGCCACTCAACAACCACTACCAACCCCTACAAGGCTCACACATGTCACAGCAAAAGCAACCTTACTGATCTAGTCCAACCCCTTCATTTTACAGATGAGGATTCTGAGGCCCAGAGAGAGTAGCTTGGTGGAGTGAAGAGGAGGGCTGCCACTATCCCGTAACTTGCTGTTGCGAAAACAGTCCTGCCTCATGACCCTTTCATCTGATGGGAAATTGCTCTAATGCACCAATTATGATCAATGAGAACAACTGAACAATTGATCACAACCTGCTGGAAAACTGTCATAATAAATATATAAATCTACAGTGTCTACCATGTACGTGGTGCTCCCTCAGTTATGCAGTGCACAAGCCGCACACCCATTCATGGAGTCCTGACAGAGTTAGGAGATATCTTTTGTTTGCTCCTCTAGGTTTCAGGTTTCAAGAACTAACAGCACTGAGGTTCTTTACCAAAACTAAACAAGCATCAAGAGTCAGAGTGCTGATTTCTCCCTTTATGAGGGTTTCCCTGGGCTGTCCTGTGGTTTGGGCTTGGTTCACTTCCCCTAGAAAGCTGGACTCTAAACTCAGCCCACCAGCGCAGCATAGCCTGCCCATACTGGACTCATTCTACTCATTCCCAGCTGCAACCCCCGTTGAGCTGGCCTGGCTGCTTTGCTGCTAACAAGGAAGGGCTGTCCTAGTTGAGCTCACGAGGGAAACCAGTATGGGAGGAATCCTCAGGTGGCCATGGCTGCTATGTGCTGATGAGGCTTGGCCCTGATAGGGAGCACAGAAGCTACACACAGAAAGGACTCTGCTCCTGTTTACCTTTGCAGCCCTGGCCCAGTCCCTGTCTGAGGTTATGAGACTCAGTACATCTGACCCAACAGCTGCCTCCTTTCCCTGATTCTGTGTGACAACAGAGAAGTCAATTAAGTACTCTGAGCCTCAATTTATCCATCTATAAAATGGGAGTGATACTTACCTTCAAGGGTTTCTGAGCAGGTTATGTGAAAGTATTATGTTGAAAGCACTAAGCATAAGCCGGGCACACAGAAGGAAATCTGGGAGACAACAGAATCCCTGATTCCCAAATCCAGTAAGTGTTCAAATCACAAAGAGAGAAAGAGTTGAAACTGAAAGTGGCAACAAGAGAGGGAGCAAGCAGAACCAGCCACAGCTACACATGTACTCCAGAGTCAGAATAAACAAGATCCTCCTGGGTTGGGGGCTGGGGGACTTGCTCTGCTGTAGATCCATAGAAGGCAAGCAGAGAAGTCGCTAGGAGCCCGCCAGCAGGGCACAGGGTAACTGCGAGGTTGGAATGAAGCAACTGGAACCACAGCAATCAATACTATCAATGACTGCACACAGCGAAAGTCCATCACAGGAGAGATCAGTGCCTTTGTCAGCAGTGACGTTAGTGAGATAGAACCCCCCACCCCACTCCAGTCTATAAGACCCAAAGAGCAAACAAAACAGGAATAGAATGTCTACTCCTCGAGGATCTAATACAATAAAAAAATGCTTTATGAGATGAAAGTACTATATAAATGTAAGGGATTATTATATTGCTGATAACAAATTCCAACTGGAAGCACTAATGGACTTAGATATGTGACTTTAAGAGATGTAATGAGTGTCAAAAAACACATATGTAGGGCCGGCCCGGTGGCGCACTGGATAGTGCGCCGCTTGGGAAGCGCGGCAGCGCTCCCGCCCGAGGGTTCGGATCCAACATACAGACCGGCTCCCGCTCACTGGCTGAGCGAGGTGCCGGAGCAACACCGAGGGTTGCAATCCCGTTGCCGGTCCCTGGTCCGGTACGGGGGCAACACTGAGGGTTGCGATCCATTGCCAGACACGGAAAAAAAGACAAAAAAAAAAGAATTGGGCAAAAGGCATTTCACCAGAGAAGACACATCCATGGGAGGCAGATAAGCACATGGAAAGATGCTCAGCGTCATCAGCTATTAGGGACATGAAAATTAAAAAAAAAAAAAAAAAAAAAAAAAAAACACATATGTACAAAGCTCAAATGAAGAGATCAAAGAATTTAACTAGCAAATGAAGGTAATATCAAGTTCCTAGAATGGTAGCAAGACTGGTAGAAATGCCAGGAATCGCCTGGCCCAACTCTCTGGTTTAATAAGGGAATAAGCCAGCCCAGTACTTTTTCATCAGTAATGTACTACCAAGGGTTTGGAAAGAGGAAACGGGGATGGTCCTGGACGATTTCTTTATCATGCCACTTTGATGAATGGTCTGCAAGTTTTTAAAAGCTGAGGGGTTTTTTTTTGTTGGGGAACAGCATGTGTTACCTTTGGGGTTGGAAACTTATTTTGCAACTTACTTTGGGGAAGAATAAAAGAACTATGAAGAACTCAGCTACAGCTTCCCTTCCACACAAAATACGACACCTTCATCACTTGGAGCTGACCTTAACCCAAGCTCCACACTGGGCTTCGATGGATCTTCAAACCTCTTGAAACTGTGTAAAAGTTATTGTATATATCCTAGGTAAATAAAACCATCTAGGGATTACAGAAGAATATCAGCTAATCAGTAGAGGAGGGATAACAGAATTAGAAAATCACCATTTTGCACCTGCCTTTATAATAACGCAAGGATCATCAATGAATAATACTAAAACCATTAGGTGAAAGATTTGGGGGGACAGAATAGACCCCATGGTGCCAAAGTAGCACCCACTGGATTATTTCCTAATGTACCTTGACAAGGGAGAGATCTAGTGGTCACTTTAACCAAGTGACGAAACCCAGCATCACGAACAGAGGGGCAAACTGGCATATGGCTTCCCAATGTGGTACCATGTGAATTACACAGCATTGCCTATGAAGTTTTCTTGCCAAAAATGTTTGACCTAAATGATTCTAATCAAGCCTTTAGATCTAACTTCCAGTTCATAGAAAATATGAAGGATGAAGAACATTTTGCAGTATGTTACAATTGAAAAAGTGCAGACAGAGGAGTTAAGCCACACCATGAGGAAATGATCAGATAAATCCAGAATGTGGGACATTCCACAAGACAACTAGACTGATCTTTTAAAAAGTCATAGAAATATTTCTAAATGATTGTTCTTGATTTTAAAGGACTAACATGCAAATGCAATGTGTTAACCTTGACTGGATCCTGGTCTTTAACCAAAAAAAAGTTATAAAATCTTTTGGAACTATAGGGGAAATTTGAAAACAGATTGGGTATTGAATCATATTAAGAAATTACTTTTTTAATAGTATTTACTGAGGTTATGTATGAGAATATCTACATTTTTAGGCAATGGATGCTAACCGTCTTTAGAGCTTCATGACTACAACTTAATTTGAAATGGTTCAGCAAAACAAAATAAAAAGTTAAAAAAATTTTCTAAGGAGAGGGGGCTAAGTTTTCTATCACATTCTTAAAAGGGTCACCAAAAATGTTTAAGTCACTGATGTAGAAATCACTGTACTTTATAGTTCAGTATACATGTGTTGAACATATGAATGGATTCAGAGCACCTGAAGACAATGTTAATTGTATAGAACCATTTGTTTTTGAGAGTCTGCTGTAACTAGACAAACAAAACACAGTACCACTTCTATGCTCAATCCCACCACTCGGTTATACAGACTGCATCTGGAACACATTACAGCATGTATATGAAAGATGTCTTACTGTGGCACTGCTGAATACATGTAAGGCCCAAGGAGTAAATCCATGAGCTGGACAATCCAGGTTCAAGTTTGGACTCCGGAACCCAATAACCAGGTGACTAACAACTTCTTGGCAACGACATTTATTTAGGACTCACCATATCTTCATCTTATGACATTTCATGGTCAGGATACTCTTCTGAGGTAACTGAGGCTCAGTGGGGTTAAGCAACCTGCCCAAGAGCACATGCTAGGAAGCAGCATCTGTTGCCAATGGCTCACCCCAATCCACTGCACTCTCCTCCCTACCCGAGCACACAGCAAAATGGGGTCTAATACCAGCTCCTTTGTTAGGAAGCTCAGATGAGATCATCTGCATGGAAGGGCTTTGTAAGCTGAGTAGTGCTGACAAAAGGAAAGGGGCATACATTCTGCTGATATTGACCAAAAGCACCCTAGCCTTAGCTGTGACAAGCCTTAACACACGGAGTGAGCAATAAAGCATCCCTGCTGGACAGCAGTTTTTCCTTTTTAGTGACAGGAAGAGGATATCAAGATTTCCAAGTTAGAGGAAATGGGGTAGAGTATGAGGGACATGGGAAGATAACTGCTTCCCTTCCCCACATCCAATGCCAATAGATCCAATACAAAATTCACCCTCTCCAAACCCCCCCCCCCAACTTATCACTCCCCTACGAGTTTGCCTTTTCTACCATTTATGCCTTCAGCATATTCTGATTATCTCAAAAGTTTTCCTCAATAAGGTGTAAAACTATTACTCTACTTTCCTCTTCATTCCTGGCTTTTGGGCAGACAGAAACTATACAAAGTCAGAGCTAGAGAAAACCTCAGAGATGACACAGTTCACCCCCATTCCCTTTACCCAAATGAGAATTCTGAAGCCTAAAGGAGTCACTTCATGAATTACACACTACTTGCTGGGGGGTGGGTGAGGGCTATTGGCAAGGCAGTTCTTCTGCCCCTTCAATAAACCAGAAGGTAGTTGTAATTCTACAGAACCAGGAAGATATCTAAAAGACCAGCCCTGCAATGTCCTGGCACTCTTCTCACAGGCGCAACTGGAGACATTCCCTCCCTTCCTCTGAGTTTCCCTTTCCCCCAAATCCACCCCTCCTCTGCGAGTCTCTGGATTGGAATAAATACCTAATTTGCATATGTCAACAGAATGGCCAAGGTGACACCATGTACTTTCCTGCAG